AAAATCCAGGTAATGAAATGCAACCAAACCTTGGGATCATGGTACAACAAAATCCAGGTAACCAAGGGCAATAATACTGTGGCAATAAGGTGCAACAAACTCAAGAAAATAATCAGCAACCTCCAACAGGTAATCACTTATTGCAGACTCAATCTCAAATAAATAACCAACAACCTTTCAAGCAAAGTCAACAACTAGCAGTAAACTAACTTGCTCCGATAGGAAATCAACCTGTGGCACCCCAAGAAACACGGAAGGACTGAATCGTCAGGTAGATGATTGCCATCCCAAGGGACTGAAATATGATGGAAAGGATAATTGGTTGGGATTTAAGCACAAAGAAGATGGGCGCATTTGGCGTGTGATCTGCAGGAATCATTTGTACGAAACAATTATGGTTTAAATGTCCATGATGTTGTTGGCTGACCATAGCTAGTCAGATTTTATAAACACTGCACAGCCATAGGATTTTTCTTTCATTCAGTCTGAAATACCTTGTCAGATTGTAACATTTATGTCCGTTTTTCTTAGGAAATGCAATAACAAAGTAATGCTTCACAAAAAGTAATTATAATACCTACATGTATAAGATAAAAGGCAAAAGATAAGTGTACATGCACATCAAAGTTAAGTAGAATAGTAGATTGGAATTGATTTTGCTCTCGGTGCAAGTAAACAAAAATATATAATTCAAAATTTTAATAATTCAGTGCATAAAATGAAACTGACAAAAGAATTGAATGTTTGCATAAAAAATGCACGCCCCATGCGAGGCTCGAACCAAAAACTTTCCATTTCAAGTGCACTGACCAGGTAATCCATCTTACTGAGCTATCACCGCTATACGCTTTCTTCTCATTATAAAAGGACAAAAAAGCACCATATTTACACAATTGATTTTTTTTGGAAAATGTTCGATTTTTATGGTCTCTGGTTCTTCTCTCCATTTTTTGCAAATGTATGTTCGTTTCTTTGAAATAAAATGCACACAAATAACGTTTCATAATCATGGAGAGAAGACCAGAGATAGAATTTTTTTTAGAAAAACTTGTTAAAAAATGTACAATTTTGTACCAAACGTCTGATCTAGCTAATTTTTAAGTTACTTTTAAGCAAATTAAAACTCGCTATCGGGAAATTATTTTCCTTACCCATTTCACAGGAACCCGATATATTAAAACAATATAAAAATTTCATGTGACATGTCGATAAAATTTTAACTTTTCAAGTACGCCCAGTTTCCTGCCAAATGCCAATCAAAAGCGTTCTTTATGAGATATTAATAAAGAATTATTTGTGTTGGCGCCTTGGAGGTAAAGCCAGTGAATTTTATGCTTCCATTGTTGCCAGAAATCAAGCTATTGGTTTTCCAGAAATCCTTAACAAGTTAAAGAAAAGGTTTGGTGGAGTACCATTATCAGACACAGCACAAGTACAGTTAGGAAAATCTAAACAAAGTCTGGGGAATCTATAGAGAACTGGGCAGACAGAGTTATGCGGTTGTCTATACGTGCATTCCCTGAGTTGCCAGAAGAGCACATGTACCAAAATGACGTTAAAAGAATCTGTCATGGATGTGTTGATAAGGAAGCAGGTCAGTATGTCGTGAATCTAAATTTAGATTCCGTACAACAAGTTATAGATAAAATCAAAAGCTTCCAGTTCAATCATCAGAGTATCTATGACAAGCCTAAAAAAGAGGTTCGTGAGATATACATTTCTTCAGACCATGCAAGTTCAAGTAAAGATGAGATGCCAACTGTCAAAGAAAAAAGATCAAAACAACTGAAGTCTTCTAGTCATGAAGAAAAACAGAAAGTGGATACCCAGCTGAACGAACTTTCAAAGCACATTGGTGATATCAAAGATGGCACTTTTTAATTACTCCGTCATCTAGAGAAAATACAACCACAGTCAAGAAACGTCTCATCAAAGAAACCAGTGAGAAGTAAATCCCCATCAACTAGTAATGGTCGATGTTTCCACTGCAATGGTCTAGGACACTTTGCAAAAGACTGTCCACAGAAGAATACAGAAAACAAACCTGCTAAGCATGTATCCTTTTCGTCAGCTTTAAACGAGAAGGGATCAGGCCAGTAGGCCTTAACCTGGTCCATAGGGATGACGGCCTGCAGTACACAGAAAAACCCTTAATCATTTGACAGCTGAAATCAAAGTCATCAATTATGATTCCCGTAACTATACATGGAAGTATTGTTGAAGGAATTATAGATACAGCTTCATAGGTTACCATCATCTCTGACAAGGTATATAATTCATTACCTGATAGACCAGGCGTGGTGAAGAATATTACCTTGCATGCTGCAGGAAGAGATATGTCCATGGAAGGATATTTGATTGAACAAACAACTGTAGAAATGAAAGGACTTCAATTCAATGAAAGTGTATATGTTGATCCTATTGAAGATGACATGCTTATTAGATTGGATTTCATGTCGAAGTTCCAAGTTGAAATTTACATGAAACAAAGTCTATTTTGTGTATAAGATCAAAGAATTCCTTTTATTGAAAATTTGGGTAACTCTGTCCAAGCTATTACTCAGGTAAGAATTGCTAGACGTACTGTAACTCCACCTAGATCTGTCTTAAGAATACAATGTAATACAGATCATCCCTTAGAATCAGCCTGCTATCTTATAGAACCTGATGTCAAATTATTACTTGCTCCTCGTGTATGTATCGTTGGTGCTGGTGATCCAATGATGCCATTTGTCAACTTGTCTGATAGTAAAATAACTCTGTTTAAGAACCAGAAAGTCGGTATGGTGTATGAAATAGATGAGATATTTCCAGTTGGAGTGAGTGACCAGAAAGATACTTTTCAAGCAGCACAGATAAAAACTACAGAAAATAATCGAATCCCGGAATACCTAGAAAGCATTTTCAAAGTTCCTGTTCAGAGTTGAATGAAATGCTGCAGCGTGAATTGATCAAATTATTGATACAGTTTGCTGATGTTTTTTTCTGCTCATGAATTTGACTTTGGCAATTTTACAGCTATTGAGCATGCTATTAATACAGGGGATTCAAATCCAATTAAGTAGAAGTTCTGGGGGACACCTACTTCCTTTGAAGAAGAAGAAAAGAAACATCTAGAGATGCTGAAAGCTGATGTAATAGAACCTTCTATGTCAGAATGGGCGTCTTCTCCTGTGCTGGTGCGAAAAAGAGATGGTAGTGTGAGATGGTGTGTGAATTACAGGGTACTGAACAAAGTAACAAAAAAAGATGTTTCCCCTGCCTCTTATTAAAGAATTTTTTGATACCGTAACAGGCAACATGTAGTTTTCAAAACTGGATGCCACCTGGGATTATTGGCAAATTAAGGTAAAAGATGATGACAAATGCAAAACAGCATTCACTACCAAATATAGATTATTCAAGTTTAAACGCATGAGTTTGGGTTAACAAATGCGCCGAGTACCTTCTCAAGAGTAATGAATTTAGTTCTTAGAGGGCTAAACTGGAAAAATTCTGGCCTTTCTGGATGATGTATTGGTTTTGGGAAAAAGTTTCCAAGATCTTTTAAAGAATTTAGCTGAAGCTCTAAAGGTTTAGAGAATATGGAATCAAGTTAAAGGCGAAGAAGTGCGACCTGTTTAGAAGGAACTGGAGTGTCTTGGCCGAACTGTAGGACGAGATGGTATGAAAATAAGTAAGCATTTTTAAATACCATGGAGAAGTGGCAAGTTCCTAAGTGTACAAAAGATGTGGAGCGTTTTTGCGGATTTGCCAACTATCATCGGAATTTTAGTAAAGATTTTGCAGAAATTTCTAGACCTTTTTACAGTCTTACAGGAAAAAAACAAGTTTCACTGGAATCAGGAGCATCAGGATGCCTTTGAGATGTTAAAATGAGCTCTCTGTAGTTCTCCTGTACTTACTATACCAACGAAGAAGGGCAGATTCATATTAGATACCAATGCTTCTGAATTTGCAATTGGGGCTGAGTTACTTCAAGTACAAAACGGTGAAGAAAGATGCATATCATATTGTAGTTTTTCATAAACACCAGAGCAGCGTAGATACTGTACCACAAAAAAAGAACTTCTAGCAGTTGTGCGATTTACCAGACATTTCCGGCATTATCTACAGGGACGCAATTTTGACCTGCGTTCTGACCATATAGCAGCCACGAATGGCCTATGAACTTTAAGAATCCAATGGGACAGCTTGCCAGATAGTTAGAAGAATTGAGTCAGTACTGGATGGTAAATACATCATCGTCCTGGGAGTAAACACCATACTGCCGATTTCTTGTCCCGGTTGCAAGACATGGACACTTGTCAAAAATACAGGCATGCTGTTAAACTAGAAGAACTACCATGTGGAGGATCTTCTTATTACAGGAAGAAACATCATGAATGGAGCAAGTTTATTGATTCTGTCGATAATGCTGTTCCATTAACAAATACGTGCATAAAAGTACAATAGGTCAGGAAAATGCCCATTCTCGCATGCTGGTTAAATGGATATACTTGGAGAGAGGTCGGAGAAGCGCAGCATAAAGATAAGGACCTCAAGTTAATTTTCAACTGGCATGCAAAAGTGCTATAATGAAGACGAGCTTTTCCTCAGTAGACCAGCCACAAAACATTATTGAACCAACAAAGAATTGTTCTTGTTAAGAAAAGAAGATATTTTGTGGAAAAGAGATGAGAATATTGCAGCCAAACTTTTAGTGGTACCCATAGCCTTAAAAGAGGAAATATTGAGTTTATCCCATGATTTGCCTTCATCTGGACATCAGGGCCGAGATAGAACCTTTAACAGATGTATACAAAGATTCTATTGGTACAATATGTTAACAGATGTTAGACAGTTTGTTGTATCTTGTTCTATATGTAATCGAAACAAGAAACCGAACAGGAATGCTAGGTGGAAATTGACATCATACGATGCTAGTGCACCAATGGAACGTGTACACTTAGATTTTTGAGACCATCTCCACTTCTAAGCAGAATGTTTACATATTGATGATGGTGGACCAGTTTACAAAATGGGTAGAATGTGTGCCATTACCAAATCAATCAGCTGAGGAAACGGCGAGGGTAGCAATCAACCAGTTTTTCTGTCCTTTTGGATTCCCTTACCAAAGTTTTACAGATATAGGTTCTAACTTTGAGAGTACTCTGTTCAAACAACTTTGTGACAGATTACAGATTTGCAAGGCAAGAACAACAGCTTTTAAACTGTCTGCAAATGGGCAAGTAGAGCGTTTTAACAGAACCCTCATGGATGCTCTGAGATGTTTTACAAGTAGATTTCCAGCACAGTGGAATAAGTTCTTGCCACAACTGGCAAGTGCTATAAGATCCTCTGTCAATCGAAGTACAGAGTTTACGCCAAATATGTTGATGCTTGGACGAGAAATTAATAGCCCTTTGGATTTGATTTTTCCGGGTCCAGAACCAAGTGATAAAGTATATTACGAACAATATGTCACAAATCTAGTGCGGAATGTACAAGCCACTCATGATTTGGCTCGTGAAAAGTTGCGAAGTAGTCAAGCTATTGCTAAGCGTGACTTTGATCTGAAAACTTTTACACGGTCATATTCTGTTTGTGATGCTGTATATATCTTAAACACATCAACACCAAAAGGTAAATGCTCAAAGTTAAGACCCAAATGGAAGGGGTCAGGGTTGGTAGTCAGGAAAATCACCAATTACTTGTATAAGGTAATGTTGCGTAAAAAACTAGAGACAATCAACCATGACAGCATGAAATTGTGCAAAGATAAAAAGTTGCCAGTCTGGTTACAGAAACATGTTGAGACATAAAAATTGGTTCTACTGATTGTAGGTGCTCGACAGAGATGACAGGCAAGAAAAGTCTGTTCTGTCTACGCCGTGGCCCTGACAATGGAGACTTTATGATACAATGTGAAGAGTGTAAAGAATGGTATCGTGGATCTTGTGTAAATGTTACCCCAGGACAAGCCGAACGAATCGATGTTTATCTTTGTCCTGATTGTATATAATATGTAAATTATCTTTTTATTTTAGCCATGTCTGACAGAGAAGAGACGACAAAGCGGGCCTGGAAAGAAGCAGGAAGTTCAAGACAGCGACCCAAGGCCAACAAATTTGAGGCTCTTATAAAGCCAGGCGAGAGTCTGATGGACTGTGTCCGCCGCTTTTCTGATAACCACATCATGGTGAAGCCTAAAAGTCTGTACATGCATCTAGTTACACAAAGTAATGATGATTTGAAGAAAGGATCGGTCCTCCAATACAAAGTTGCCAAGACATTGGGTTTAAACATTGGATTCATGAGATGAGCTTAAACTGCCAATGCGATTTGCCGGACACATGGATTGAGGAAAACTTACCCTCCTTAATCCGACAGAAGCTGGTGAAGCCTCATCGGTCAACCAAACCATCTGATGCTACCGTAACTTCGCGCGACATCAGATTGACTTCTCTACTAGTTGTCAGGATGAATGTTGTGGATGACTTACTGTTGGATTTAACCGAGCCTATTCCCCTTTCGTCAGAAGCTAGTGGAGAGACAAACTCAAAGAAAGAAAAAGAACAGGAACCAAAAGTAAAGTCTACCACCAAGCCAAAACCCTTGTCCGAAGAACCAAAACCCTTGGAGAAATCCCAAAGCAAAGAGTTAACATCAGTTGTAAAATCAAGACCTTCATCTGTGGTCAAGTTGCAGCCCTTGAAAACATCATTTAGAAAGTCAACAGAGAGAAAAATAGGAGTTTCATCAAATAAGCGATCCTTGACCATAACTGTGGACAGTCCAAAGACAAAGGCAACTTTACCCGAGGCAACTGGGTATTGCATGCTGTCACCATGTGGATCCATGGACAGAAGAGCGAGGCACCTGCCAGCTGTGTGAAGCATTTGCCTGGTGCTGTCCAAGCACTGAGATGATTGGTTCATATGGCCTATGAACAAGAAGCGTCACTTTGGGATGCTGTGTACATGGTGAATCAGTCAGTCTGATAACCTAAATCCCTTGCATCACAAAGTATTTATAGAAGCTTGCAAGTTGTTGCAGATTTCAGAGCCCAGTCATTTCACCTTGCGACCCAACTCTCCTGCTGTGTTGCTATCTGGAGGTGCATCATGGTAATTCTGAATAGCTGTAGTCCTGTTCAAAAGCAGCAGTATTACCATTTTCAGCCTTTAGAAGACCCCAGCTAGGAAGATAAGATGGTTGAAGAAGCGTCGGATTCTGAACTGCCTTAAGACTTGGAGGAATTTATCCTGGTGGATGAAGCTGATTCAGACCAAGATGAAGCTACAGTACCGGCCAACGCATCATTGCCCAAGATAAGTATTTGATGTTCATTTCCACCTAGACCGTTCACTTGGGGCAGTCTGGGGGAGGTCTGGAGGACAAACTGTAGAGGAATTATTGCGATACAGCTTCTCCAGTGATGTTTCATATAAACCAGCCATCCAAGTAGACGTAGTTGGGGAAATTATAGTATATAGTGAGCCCAAGTCCTATTCAAAAGTAAACTTCACCTTACAAGGTCCCTTGAAAGTGGCTATTAGAGTCCATCCAAAACACTATGATACCCTCACCGTCGAAAAAACAATAATTATGCAACAACTTCTAGACCATCCTAAAGTAGTAGCATTGCGGGAATGTGGCCTGGACAGAAACATTGCTCCTTCAGAGTGGTGTAAACAAGAAGAGGTGTTTGTTAGGCTTATAAAGTTATCAAAGTGGAGCAGCCCCTTGTTCTCCACCTCAGAGGACCAAGAGGAGACACCTATTCCTCGGATGTTCATGGCCGTTGCCTCATGCTAATGGAGGATGTCTGTGACCCGAACAGAAAATCCATGTCCACTGCTTCATGGGAAGAGCTGACGTGGTGAGGACTTGGCTGCGGAAATTCCCAGATTACGTATTTTGGAGTGACAGCTGCCGTCCAAGCTTTTGACCACGAACAGCTGAAAGGGTTACAGGCTATCCGTCATAATAAGCTACTCCTGGAGACCGATGCGCCCTACTTTCCTTTCCTTTAGGAGGTGTCAACGTGAGTACTCAAGCTTTTTTTGGGAGAAGTAGCATCCTATCTGTCTGTCCATTTGAACATGCAGCCCCCAGAGCTAATGACAATAACTGTCCTGAAAGCATGGAAGCTCTACGGATATTGAAAACAGAGAAGACTGGTGATAAGTGAAATTTCATGCCAATTTATTAGTGTGCTGAAGATATCTAATAATATTTTCAAGATGCCTTCTTGCCGCTATAAAGTGTGCTGAAAGTGATTCAGTCTTCATTGCATCAAATTCCTTGATCAGCGCTGGATGTAATGATGTCTTCTATATTCTACTTCATCAGCGCTGGATGTGATGATGTGATTTATATTCTGATATGGCCATGTTAATAGTAAATGCGTTTTTATTGTTTGTATAATTGTTTAAATAATTGTGACCATTATAGTAGTCTATAGGTTTATTATTTATAAAATAATATTTTGTATAACATATTAATATTGAAAATTTAAAAATTTTATAAAATAACTCAAACAAGTAAAACACAAACTGTTCATCTATAAGGACATTCCAATTGGAACGGGGAGGAGTGTAGAAACGAATGAACTTATGTACGAGTTATTAAGGGATTTCCCAATTCTATAATTAGATAAACAGAGACTTTCTTCCCGCCAGCCCATGCAGCACTGCAGAACTTTGATTATTGTGTTTTGATATATTTGTATTTTACTTGCTTGTACCTGTGCTTACAGAATACATTCTAAAGTAAGTAAAAAGGTTTATTTTTTTCTATAGACCACCTTTAAGCAATCGCTTAATGGTAGCTTAATGGTGTCTTAATGGTGGCTTTAAGAAGTTGATTCCTTTAAGTAACCATTAAACCATCATTAAGCTGCAACTTAAAGGTGCTTAATGTCCAAACTTCATTAAGCTACCATTAACTCTTTACAACTTACTGAATTGTTACGCAATATACACTTAATGTTCACGTCATAGAAATACGTTTTTACCATTTCCCCGCAGGCACTTTATAGCATAGTACAATTTTCTCTAAAGTTTAGCATAAATAATATCATGACGTATTATTTAAATAAAATAATAAGCTTTCTTATTTTATGAGATTCCAGCAAGTATGAAATAGAAGGAATTTTGCAATAAATTGAAGATTAAATGAACTTTATCAAGTGCGTGAAAATGCGTGATTGCGGGGAAACGGTATATGCGTGATTTTGCATTAGAAATGGGAAAGATATATGCTTTAAAATGCGTGACTGCGGGGAAGGGGGTTAAGCCTCCTTTAAGCTTAGCTTGATGATGACTTAATGGTCAAACCTCATTTAACCACTTTTACGCATCTTATATCAAATCTTTGAAGTTACCTGTTAAGTTATTTCAATATCATTTACGCAAAATCTATTTCAATTCATAATTTCGTCTCGATTGTCATTTCTATATAACATTCTTGTCAACATGCAAAAACTCAGTCACTGAAAACAAAGTTAGCTAATAGCCACAGGGGCTTGCTCCCGGTGTCTTATAATTATTTATTTTAAAAAATCATTTCCAGTAATAATAAAACAAGGCATGTTTTATCATTACCGTATATGATTTTTTTTAGAATAATTATTACATGCGTTGTTTTATTATTAGTGTATATGATTTTTTTAAATAAATAACTATTACACGCCGGGAGTAAGCCCCTGTGAAATAACTTAATTTTTTCACTACCGAAAATCAATTTGTTTAAACACTTGTTTTTAAAATAATCTTTATCCATGAACACAAAATATATATTAAATTAATAAAAAAAAAAGATGGTTTATTTTATTTAATGTGTTAAAAGCAACAAAGCAACATTCCGCTACAGAATTCACAGGAATTAAAGTCATATTGTCATGAAAAAAAATCTGTCTTTTTTTTAGGGGGGGGGGGTATAAACATTTTTAGTTTTCAAAGATTAACTTTTACATTGTGAATTATTTGAATTAATTCGTAGTTAAAAGTCAGTATTTTTTTTAAATGCAGCGGTAAGTATCTGTCAAAATATAGTCGGTATTCAATGATTGTTATTTCAAAATCGATTTTCAGAAGAACAGCCGATCAGATTAAACATGACATCCGACCAGATTTATACACATTGGGAAGGGGGTGGGATTAAAAGATTAACAATGTATAGTGTTTCAACTGGTCAGACAATAGACCTTAATTAGGTGTGGCCACCAGTCCCCGGCTAACTAACAGGAAACTATAGATGCATAACGTACACTGACAGATTTTGATGATCAATTATTTTTACAAATTTTAAATTTAACGCAAGAATAAAACAAATTAAAAAATTATGATTCATTGTAAAAGGACAATTATTTTAATACCCATTATGATACAAAAGGAATTTAAACTGAATATGATATTCTAAAAAAATTTTTGTAAGCGTAACCAGATACATATGTAACTCTTACGCAAGGATTGTCACTAAATTTTAGACACAAAAACTGTTCTTATCCACAGCATATATAAAAATAGTACAATCTGGTTTTTTTAATGTTTTTTTTTTCGATTATAGAATTTTGTGTTTTATCTATGAATTAATTTAATTCAATCATGATTTAATGCTTATAAATCTTCGAATAACAGAGCGAAGAATTCATTACATCAATCTAAAGGCCGAATTCAACGGTTTAGAAATATTAATGTGATATAATCATCTTTTAAAAATTATTTATATTTTGAATAATAAATCAATTCAAGACTTTGAAAACGTTCAACAAAATAATTACTTTTACAAGTCAAAACTAGATGCTGTCATGAGACAGTAATACCCGCACTAAGGTGTTTGCCTCTAAATGCACACTTCTTCATATTGGGCTTTACCAAGGAAAAAGTCAATATAATTCAATAATTTACATAATACATGTATTATTCGAATTGGGCATAATATGCTCAGGTGACCATGTAGCTGCAGATCTGCAGCATTATGGTTTTATATATTTGTCTTTGACCATAACGCTACAGATCCCCATATGCAAAAAAGGTGCAATTTACGGCGCAATATTTTTTGCGCACTTTTGGGCAGAATTTCTCCACTTTCTAGCATTGGTCAATCAACTACCTTTCACTCCCTAATTTTAGACACATTCTGTAGTCAAAATGTATATTTTGTCCACCTCTCAGCCATTTATAGTCATCTCTACAGGCAATAAACTCGCCTGATGTGAATTTTCAGCAATCTAACAAATAATTTTAATCAAGCGAGTTTATCACGTGTAGAGACGACTATAAAAGGATTGGAGATGGATAAAATATACAGATTAGT